CCTGCAAATATTAACATAAATCTCAATTTATGATTTATAGAACTCCACAGCAACATGTTAATTGTCCTTACTGTTGTAGCTGATATCACACACAGCTGATAAGTCTAGAGGCCTACCTATAAAGGGTAATCAAAATCTAGGGCACACATTGGCTAATATTGAGCATACAGTATAAATACTTGAATATCACAAAAAATAAGGGACAGTGTCAACAAACTAAAATGTATGTCATGATTTCCTGTATTATTTAAATCCAAAGGGCTTACATTGCCTGTATATTGTTCATACCCTTATTTCACCCTTGAGCTCATGCAATAAGCAGTCAAAATTGTCACAGCCAATCAAACATTACGGAAGCCATCTTGGATTTTAAATTAACTAAAACCATGATAATAATTATCACACACGATAACAGGGTCATCATGAAACCAAGTTTGGACAGGAATTAGGCATAACAGGTTTTTTTAGAAATCGTAAATGTTTCTACAAATCAAAACCGACAATTGCCAACTTGGATTTGGAACACAGTCGTTCTCTGAGTCAAACAAAGGCCAGGCAACCATCTTTGACCTCTCAGTGTTCCGCAAAAATAACAGCACATGTTCTTGGCTATGAGCAACCAAAAGACATATTTGTCCTTGTAAAATGTAGAATGTGAAAAGTAAATTAAGGTACAACATATCAGTGAACAACAAATGGAAAATAAGTGGGTCAACTCATCTTATATTTAACCCTTTCACCACTGTAGAGCATAATGGACTCATCCATATCAATGCATGGTAGAGTCTACTCAAGTGGTAGGGGTGAAAGGGTTAATTATACCTGGTGTGATGAAAATTCATCTTCAGATATTGGTCAGTATATAAATTTGTTTAGAAGGACAATTAAGCAGGGATCTGACATTTCATCATAACAACTGTTAAATCCATGCAATGAGGCCCTCCTAGTTTGCATGGCCCAGGAATGTAGAATTTATACTGCACTAAATTAAATCTATTGTTCAAAATATTCTATCAGGTATCAGTATTCGTCTTACAATATATATTAACAAATAAGTATAAATTCACATTTTGATATAAAAAAATAAACTTCCGGATATTCTTGTCCGTACTCTAACAGTATGTACATTATTTAAAGGCGATTATTGACGCCCATGTACATTGTATGTATATTTATATATATGTTTATGTCATAAAATTTTGAAATATAATTTAAAAAAAAAAAAAAAAAAAACTATTGAAATTGGCACGTCTATCACAGTGAACAAAACACAGTGTGTCAAGCACTGTACATATTTGTAGCACATTCCAAGCATTTTAATAGGTCAAAGTACAATTGTCATACAAATACGATATCTTAGAATTCTGGTACGAATTAACGGCTGTACAAAGTATCAACTGTACACAATAAACCACTTCTTTCTAACAATTCTGAACTATAATAGGACATTTTGGGATTCAAAGTCTTTTATTTCTGACTTTAAGATCCAATAAAATTAACTTTTCTGATCTTGAGTTACAAAGGAAGTTGATTGTTCTGACCATGGGATGTGAAGAAATGCAAATAAAGATGATTTTACCAACCTTTACCTCCAAATTTAGCAATTCACTATTCTGACCTTGAGCTATGAAGCAATTTAATTATTTGACCTTGAGCCCAAAGGCAATTCATTTTGATGATTCCCATGCGCTCGGAGTCCCTTTAATATCACAGGAACATTTATCATAGGATTTTAAACTTTATGATATTTGTTTAGCAGAGTGTACACCTATAACACATGTATCTGTGATCGTGTTCACTTTATAGACAACACTTATTACATTGGGTAGCAGCAGATCTTAACCCCACTGTGTACATTACAACTACCCACACTCGTCGCCCCACCAGGTCACACCCATAAATAATCTAATATCAAATAGCTGGACACACCCACAAGTGTACATAGATCCCGACACTTTAGATATCACAGAGTCGCCAGCAGGACACATTTACGCCCACCCAAAACATTACATTATAAAGTACGATATGAGGTAGCGGCTGTTTGAACAAATAATAAAACATGCTTAGCTTTGGGTTATCAACTATAGATAACATACTTGCGAAATGTATTAATAAAATACATAACTGATAAAATTGATTAAAACAAGGATAGTACTGAACACTTACATGATACGAAGTCCATTATTTTTTTGTCAAAACAGTTAGGTTTTTTATGTGGTACACTAATAAGATGTCTAGTCGGTATGGACAACTTAATTTGATAGCGTTAAACTTTACTGAAGTTTCAAGGGAATCGGAAATGACAGATCAGCTATCAAGACAAGAAGTAGCAAGAGGCCCATGGGGCCTGTATCGCTCACCTGTTTCTTTTGTTACATGAAACTGACATATGGGTAACTTAAGGCCAAATTTGATAACTACAATACAAGACATTTTAACATCTCTTAAACAGTTCTGAAGATGTTTTTGTTTGAAATTTGAAATTTGAATTTTAAAGCTTTTAACCCTTGCACTTAAAGTTGACCTTTGACCTCATTACTGTAATCAAGAAAATAATCCACACAGCTGGTCTACATAACATACCCAAGTATCATGACTCTAGTCCGAATGGTTCTAAGGATATTGATGTTTGAAGTGTTTAACATATTTGACCCCTATGACCTTGAAAATAGGTCAAGGTAATTTTAACGAGGAAACTTTATAGCACTCCATCTTAGGTACCTTCTTGCCAAATATCATGACCCTAGGTCATCCAGTTTTTCAGAAGAAGTCGTTCAAAAGAAAACGTCGACGGAGGGACGACGGACGACAGACGGACAATGGAAGCCGCAGTACGGCATAAGCTCACAGTGCCCTTCTGTATGAAATTTGCTGTATGGACATAGCGCTAGCAGTTGTTGATTTTATCATGTTTTATGGCATCCCTAGAAATTCTGTATATTTCTCACACCTACTACACGTACTTCGACTGTGACTATAGTACTTTAAAACATACATATACTGTCCATTTACAACATATATTTATCTAAAACATTATAAATTGTTTGTATATAATGAAAATTATCTGTATAATATAATGGTGTTATCAGTGTTAGGTGTAGGGGTATGAGTGTAGGATCAAACAAACATTTGTCTATCATCTGTCATTTTAAAACAAGGACAACTTCATACACCTCCAAACTAGTTCCACCAAAATGTCTTTGGACAAAAGCTGGCAGCTTGTATATTGTATATCAGTGTTACACAGTGCAATACAGTAGGGCTGTTTCCCGGACTTCAAATGTGCTATTAAACACATATAGCATAGGTAGCAGTATACAGTAGAAATGGTCCGACTCTGATAAACAAGGCACATGTCGAGGAAATGTAAACACAGCGGATTTCCCCTACACAACACATGTATACATGTATATATATTTGTAAACTGCATTAAATTTACAATACATATAAAGTACTGAGAAGTGTATAAACCTCTTTTTTCTATGTATGTCCCTTGTGTGAAAACCATGGTTACCACATCAAAAATTACCAAAAAATGCCATAAATTGCTATTTTTAACCCAAAATTTGACCCCCGCAACTAGTAATTTTTTTCCTAAGCTCTGTCTGAAATTAAAGATTACCTACCTGGTTGCAGAATTATCTGGGTCGCAGCAAAGTTGTAAAACTTGATTTTTTGCAATTTTGCGTCGTGTGCTGTTGTCAAAATTTTACCTCCTGTAAAGCTAGCTTTTCATGTGTACGCACCCTTTCAGATTATGGCCAAAATTTTATTCTCGAACCAATAAAATCTTCTTTCTTTTTACAAATGTGAAGCTCACATAGCCCACTTCATCATGCTTATACCAATTTTTGTACAGTTTTATTTTTATATTTTTTTTTACATATCATTATACAGGGGTTAGCCATTTAACAAAAATATCACCCATGGCCACAACCCTCTACTGTATACTGCTACCATAGGATTATAGACTTTTAATATATAAATCCATTACCTATAGACCTGAAAAACAAGCTAAGCTGAACAATTTATTTCTCCAGTGTTTGTTTCTCTCCATCCAGATAATCTCAAGTCTGTAACGACTTTTTCTTTAAATAGTCCGAGGTATATTTGTCTAAAAGATGTATTTTATTTCAAATTTTCGGGCAAACCAAAAACTAACAAGTTCTTAGTCCAAGTTAAAGGGACAAATATATATATATATAACAGTGAACCTTTAGTCTGTAACCGCCTGGCAGGCTTTAGATTGTTTAATATCTTACATCAGTTTTACAAAGATGTTATCTTATTCAGTTTTTCTATGGCCATAAATATATAATCTTCTTCAAAAGGAAATTTCTATAATATCTATCTGCAAGTAAAGAAGAGTTGCCCCCCTTACAATGAAAGTTCAAAGACAAATAAAACTTTGATATTTATTTTTAAAGCATGAAATGTTGATATGATGCCAACTATATATCTGCATAGATTCCTTCATAATTTTCTTGGAAACACTCCTCTTCCTAATTGAGATCAAACTATATGACAACTGAAAAACTGTTTCTGTTTCTTGCTGATGAAATGACCAGAACCGCATAACTGTTCATACCATGTAAAAATACTGGTCACACATGCACAGTAGACAATTTTTTTCTTAGAAGTTGTTTCATGAAACTGTCAGTCAACCATGAAACATTACAATGAACTGATTTTGTTTTCTGTCTCAACAAAGACTTATCAATTGACTTTTTACACATATTTATCTACAGATGCTAAATTTAGTAAAATTATTCCAAGAATACTGATTAAATGTTTAAGTCGAGTCTCAATCTGAAAATTTCTCAGAGTGATCAATTATACTGACTTAGAATTCCATGTGAATCTGTGTCTCATAAATCAAACCTTATGTACCAGTACACAAAAAACGATCTCACACAAGTAATTATTACATCCTGTTTAATAAGACCTGTGGCAAGTTAAGAACCACAATGGTAGCAAATTCAACAATCTAAACATCTTACCTTTTCAGGGCTGATTCCAACGTCTCAAAGTCGACCTTTGACTTGCGAATGTCATTGGAGACTTTGTAGAGGAAATCTTCAAAGTTAGAAGCCATGTCACCATCTTCTTTTCGTAACCGTGTCCACAACCCCTGGATGGCGTTCTCACTGAAACAAACAAAGTTATACTCGTACACAGTCAATCAAACCACCAAGTACTGTATAGTGGTTATATTTAGCGGGTGTTTTAATTTCGCTATATTCGCGCTTTGACTAATATCCGCAAATTCTAAACACCAGCGAAATTATGGAAAATATTAACTTCTTTTACGGACCTAATCACAACATGTTGAAAATACTTATCACCCAATGCTGTTATGCAAGCTTAAATAAACTAAAATCAGATTTATCACCGGAAAACTTGGCAGTCCATGTAAAAACAACACTTACATTTATGTGTCAACGACATATGTATGTGTACACAGTAGGTGATTAGTTGATTGGAGTTTACTCTAGGCTACAAAGGTACATACACATTTGATTTTCTTTTGAGTGAAGTCACTGCATTATGGCGGATGACGACGCTCGTGATCAGTGTTTTCCAACAGTTTACCTGTATTTCAAGGTTTAACCCTTAAATGATGACACTCAAAATACTTTGCAAGACACATGGGATTCAGGTGCACAGCAAAAATTAACCCCCGCAAATATGTACTGAATACGAAACTGCAAAATATTGACCCGCGAATTAAAAGCGCTACACAGTACCATATACTGATCACAGGAATGTGATCGGACAGTTTCATCATGCACTTAAATATAGTCTTATTCCTTGGTTTCAAAGGGTGATAGAGGATTGCCTGAATAAATCCCTCTCTCTTAGGTCCACTTTCTAACTTGGCAACGATAATTTTTATTTTCATTATTGCAGACAAGCAACATGATATTTACAGCAAGTTTAACTCATTCACCCCTGAAATTTTATAATGAACTATTCCAACCTTTGAATTGTGTGAGTTCAAATGAGTCTTCAGGGGTGAATGAGTTAAACTGAGTTCAAGTTATAATTAAGATACCAAATGTCACTGAAAATAATATACATGTACCCAACCATGATCTTCATCGACTTGGATTAACTTTTGGTTCATTAAATGGTATTTTCACAGGTGACTAAGTTTCTCCTTTGACGTTTGTATTCATTTCATTTCTTTACTGAACATTTTCCCCCAGTACTATTACACAGCACTCAGTCACACATTACAGTCTGTTACTATCTTAATTTTGCTGTTAAACAACGTAAATGTCACGTTGCAATAAAAAATGTCGTGATAGAAAAGGCAAAATTAACATAGAATTATAATGGTATATTAACATACAGCTAATTCAGCTACATAAACCAGTAAATGTGAAGCTAAGGTTTTTTTTTGTAATTGTGGTCCTTTCTTATCCCTAGTGCTCCCGCTGTCCATTGAAAAAAAATGTTTTGATACTGAAAGGGACATAACTCTAGCAAGCATAAACCTTTAGATATTCATCATTTCAATGTCATATTTTTATGAACTGTTTATTTTAAACCTAATCTCCCAATAATAAAGTTAATTTCTTTGAGCACAACAAATCACAACAATTGTTTTCTCAATATTTATATGTAGGCTGGTTCTAGCCATTAAAGTAAGTATGCACGTCCTTAAATGGGACAATCAGATAGTGCTCCGGCCGCTGTCCATTGAAAAATAATGTTTTGACATTGAAAGGGACATAACTCTAGCAAGCATAAACCATCAGATATTAATCATTTCAATGTCATATTTTTAAGAACTGTTTATATTTTAAACCTAATCTCCCAATAATAAAGTTAATTTCTTTGAGCACAACATATGATATCACAATTTTTTTTATCAACATTTATATGTAGACTGGTTCTAGCCCTTCGATTGGGGACAATCAGAAACTATAGTCTGAATGAGTCAAAAAATTACCAAGCTTGTTACAGGTGTTACCCTGTTGAACCTGTCTACTTACTCATCGTACAACCTGGAGGCTCCCACATTGTTGAGCATTTCCTTAAAGAGGATCTCATCTGTCCCCTCATCTACGCCCTCGTACACGTTCTCATCTTCCTGTTGCGTCTCCTTCACATCAGTCGACTTAAACCCCAAGTAGCTCCCTGAAAAATGTCAACATCACATGTATAACTCCAACTTCAGGTAGCTCCCTAAAACAACTAACATCACATGTAACAACAATCCAAGTATGGCTCCAACCTCAGGTAGCTCACTGAAACACATGTAACAACAATACAAGTATGGCTCCAAACTCAGGTAGCTCCCTGAAACAACTAACATCACATATAACAACAATACAAGTATGACTCCAACCTCAGGTAGCTCACTGAAACAACTAACATCATATGTAACAACAATACAAGTATGACTTCAACCTCAGGGAGCTCACTGAAACAACTAACATCACATGTAACAAAAATACAAGTATGGCTCCAACCTCAGGTAGCTCGCTGAAACAACTAACATCACATGTAACAACAAGACAAGTATGGCTCCAACCTCAGGTAACTCCCTGAAACAACTAACATCACATGTAACAACAAGACAAGTATGGCTCCAACCTCAGGTAGCTCCCCGAAACAACTAACATCCCATGTAACAACAATACAAGTATGGCTCCAACGCCAGGTAGCTCACTGAAACAACTAACATCACATGCAACAACAATACAAGTATGGCTCCAACTTCAGGTAGCTCCCTGAACCAACTAACATCACATGTAACAACAATACAAGTATGGCTCTAACCTCAGGTAGCGCCCTGAAACAACTAACATAACATGTAACAACAATACAAGTATGGCTCCAACGCCAGGTAGCTCACTGAAACAACTAACATCACATGTAACAACAATCCAAGTATGGCTCCAACCTCAGGTAGCTCACTGAAACAACTAACATCATATGTAACAACAATACAAGTATGACTTCAACCTCAGGTAGCTCACTGAAACAACTAACATAACATGTAACAACAATACAAGTATGGCTCCAACGCCAGGTAGCTCACTGAAACAACTAACATCACATGTAACAAAAATACAAGTATGGCTCCAACCTCAGGTAGCTCGCTGAAACAACTAACATCACATGTAACAACAATCCAAGTATGGCTCCAACCTCAGGTAGCGCCCTGAAACAACTAGCATCACATGTAACAACAATACAAGTATGGCTCTAACCTCAGGTAGCGCCCTGAAACAACTAACATCACCTGTAACAACAATACAAGTATGACTCCAACCTCAGGTAGCTCCCTAAAACAACTAACATCACATGTAAAAACAATACAAGTATGGCTCAAACCTCAGGTAGCGCCCTGAAACAACTAACATCACCTGTAACAACAATACAAGTATGACTCCAACCTCAGGTAGCTCACTGAAACAACTAACATAACATGTAACAACAATACAAGTATGGCTCCAAACTCAGGTAGCTCCCTGAAACAACTAACATCAAATGTAACAACAATACAAGTATGACTTCAACCTCGGGCAGCTCACTGAACAACTAACATCACATGTAACAGCAATACAAGTATGGCTCCAACCTCAGGTAGCTCACTGAAACAACTAACATCATATGTAACAACAATACAAGTATGACTTCAACCTCGGGTAGCTCACTGAACAACTAACATCACATGTAACAACAATACAAGTATGGCTCCAACCTCAGGTGGCTCACTGAAACAACTTACATCACATATGTAACAACAATACAAGTATGGCTCCAACCTCAGGTAGCTCCCTGAAACAACTAACATATCACATGTATGACATCAACTCCAGGTAGATCACTGAAACAATCAACATCACAAGTATGACTTCAACCTCAGGTAGGTCACTGAAACAATCAACATCACAAGTATGACTTCAACCTCAGTTAGCTTCCCGAAACAATCAACATCAGAAGTATAACTTCAACCTCAGGTAGGTCACTGAAACAATCAACGCGACAAATATTACTGAAGCTCTAGGTAGCTTCCCGAAACAATCAACATCAAACCCCGAAGAGAGACATGACACAGTTACCAAATACCAGTCAATAAATTCCTGTATAGTAAAAAAACATCTCCAAACTCCCTCCACAGATTACTGTGGTGATACAAACCATTCAATTGACTACAGCAATGTAACAAAACACTTACCAAATCCCTCTATGAACTCCTCCAGTGTGAGGAAGCCATTGCCATCATCGTCCAGCGAGTCAAACACAGCCTCCAGCTGATCTGGGTCGAGAGCAAGCTCTTTTTGTAGCCTCTGCATGTCCTTTTTGTTGATGAAGCCTTTCTGTTCCTTGTCACAGACTTGGAACAGCTCCTGGGCCTTTTGTACGGCCAAGGCCTCCATGTCCTCTGTGGAAGCGTGCTGATCTGGCTCATACATGTTGGTTGGTCAAATAATTCAACAATCTCTATCACAGTGGTTCTTAATCACAAACACGATCTCGACATGGCGTTACAGCATATCTGTCCTGAGGATGTTTTATACCCTCATAAAACACAAAGTGGCTGATAAATTACATGTACACAAACCTTATTTTAACACATACCTGGTACTCTAGTTCTCCATATGAATCACAAGTACAATATACAGACACACTTATCTTTGTAGTGCTAGAAAACACATATTTTGTAGAGCAACATTCTTTTTATCCCGTTTTTTTCTCTCCTGAACACAGTTATTATATCATTCTAAAAAGCTTTTCGGGGATCAATTCACCATGTTGACATCTGCTGGTAAAATCCCTTCCTGTCCTCATTGCTAAACATGGTGTCAGACCTGAAACAGATAAAATATATTTAAGCTACTTCACCTAATCTACTTTACAAAATACGGAGTGATCCCAGTACACAGTATCATATGTCTGACATATGTTCTGTTGACAGTAATATCACAGATCTGATCACAAGAATCAGCTGAAACCCAAAGGAAATCCTTTATAAAATTAATAAAGGCTGCTTCAGCACGAGTCGATATCATTTTTCAACATTTTCGAATCTCGGTAATTATATCTTCCATCATATTATACCAACATTGATTGTATGTTGATTGTATCCCTTATAACACATACAGGTATATATTATATAATGACGATGTATTTTCCTGTCTACCTCAGTTCCCTTACACATATATTATACAAGGTGACCCAGTTAATATGCCTCATAATTTGTTGATTTATGTTGCACCATACATATACAAGACACGAAAAAAGTACCCAAAAAGATGCTTCCTGATTGCTACCTGAATGTGATCCTTCAATCTGATAAAGTTTTTTATTTTGCTTGAGAAACTTGAGCGAAGCCCATAGCTAACTCAAATTTCAGGTCTGATACCCAACAAGCTTAATTATCGTACTGTCGCCATTTGATTTCTCAATTCGGCAGATGATAAACAACAAACAGTACTGCTATCATGCTGTTTACAGGATGTATATTTCAGTCATGCAAAAGCATCAATCAACCCACATCGCTCGTCAACACATGAAATCAACACTCGACACTCACCATTTCTATAATCTAACCTCTATGGGGATGGGGGGAGGTTTTGGAAGAGCGTTGCATCATTCATGATGATTAACCAATGAAAACAAAAAGTGTCGTTACATCATAGGCGAGGCAGAACTTCAATTAGCATATCTGTTCTAATGAATGCATCATTTACCTAGGGATCTAATTTCTTGAAATTCTCGTAATTACAGATCAAAATACTTATACACTCCTTTGACAAAATGCAAAAATATATAATATATAAGCTTGGTCAAACAATATGTCAGCTTTAAAATTTGTATGAGGCAGAAAAGTAAAAAAATTATCAATCATATAAATTACTGAATAAAATATGGAAATATTCACTGCAAACTGAGGATACAGAGCTTGAATACCAAATGGTGCACTTTAACCCTTTCATCCCTATGTAACTTAAGTAGACTCTACCATGCATTGATCTGGATGAGTCCATTATGGTCTAGAGTGGTGAAAGGGTTAATACATGGATGATCAAATAGATATTATTTATCGTTGTGGATCTGCCCTTTACAGAAATGCACAATGATCATGATGAGTCACAGGGAAATCTGAGACCAAATTAAAAGGCATGCACACAAAACTACACCAAACGTGCACATAGCAAGCAACCAGTGGTTCCATATTTACAAAAGTCTTTTCCTAAAAATTCATAAAAAGTAGCTGACAGGATTATAACCAGATGATATGGTTACGTGGTGAAATCATCCACATGTTCATTGGCTAATGCACACTCTTATATATAATTAGCGTTTAGTTAACTTGACATTTATAATAATTGCAGAACCTTAGAAAGTTTTCCCCAAAATATTCATAAGAGACTATATAATATATTAAGCAAGTCAGTAAAGTACGATGAAGGAATGAGATGCTTGGACCAGATTCAGGTTTGGTTTGGGTTAGTATTGTTTAACGTCCTATCAACAGCTATGGTCATTTAAGGACGGCCTCCCCTGTGTGCAAGATGCATGCGTGTAGTGTATGCGTGTGGTTACTGGTTTGGGAGGCTGCGATATGTTCCTGTTTGTCTCCTTGTGATAGCGTGGAACTGATATCGACTTTATAGTGCTACCTCACTGAAACATACTGCCGAAGACACCCAACAGGACACCCCACTCATTAGTTTGAATGTAATAGCTCTTGTTGAAGAGAAAACTGCTGAAAATATTTTACCTGCATTACTCATAAGTTTCATTCCAGTAGAACTAACAACACACTGGTGCTTTGGAAATGGAAATGTCCCAACAGAGTGAAAATAAATCTAGAGTATTTTAAAATATCAAACAATCTACAAATTAAGTTGATTTGAATCCTTAGGTGTATTCCTGTTTGTACACCACCTGGTGTAGCCCGGACAGTTAGCGCCTTCCTTCCCAGATGTAGTTGTCAACAGTTACACTATAAATCTGTCCACATCGTTCATTTGTCTGTATTGACCCAAGGCATACCAGCTGTTCTCATCAGCATCACAAAACATCCAAACCAGTCACGATCATCGTCATAGATCATCGTCATAACACCTACCTACGTTGTAAGGATTTTGTCACAAAAATAATCTAAACAAACCATTGGATCTTTACTGAACATATTTCTGAGAAGTAACCCATTATGGTATGCAGAAAGCTGTATTAGTAAAGGAACACTTTTGAATCCTATAATTGAACCAGATGACAGATGTTACACCTTACTGCTACATGTATCAATAACCTAATTATAGTTATAGTAATATAATCAATATCAACTTAAAACCCAACAAACTGAACATACTGTAATATGACTGTTAAAATATGTTAAGTCTGATGTTTAGTCATTGTTAGGGTTGCATTTAATGAGCCAAAAGGCTTTCGTTAACGAACTTTCAGGAGATGTACATATCCTATTAAAAAATTGTATAGAGATGTTTGACATTTCCACATTATCTGGAATTGTATCCTTTTTACAAGTTATCTGAAGATGTGTCCTATTTACATGTATGTGTCTGAAGTTGTGTCCCGTTTCCCAGTTGTCTTAAGGTGTGTCCCGTTTCCCAGTTGTCTTAAGGTGTGTCCTACCTCCCAGTTGTCTTAAGGTGTGTCCCACCTCCCAGTTGTCTTAAGGTGTGTCCCACCTCCCAGTTTCTTAAGGTGTGTCCCACCTCCCAGATGTCTTAAGGTGTGTCCCACCTCCCAGTTGTCTTAAGGTGTGTCCACCTCCCAGTTGTCTTAAGGTGTGTCCCACCTCCCAGTTGTCTTAAGGTGTGTCCCACCTCCAAGTTGTCTTAAGGTGTGTCCCACCTCCAAGTTTTCTTAAGGTGTGTCCCACCTCACAGTTGTCTGAAGTTGTGTCCTATTTACAAGTTGTCTGAAGTTGTATCCTATTTCCATATTGTCTTTAATTGTATCCCATTTCCAAGTTGTCTGGAGTTGTACCCCATTTCCATATTGTCTTTAACTTATCCCATTTCAAAGTTGTCTGGAGTTGTTTTCTCAAATAAAGCATCCCATTAACAGTATTAGAACTTAGCCACAAGTTCTCGAAGTATTAGAATCAATATATAATCATTTATCAAAATCAATAACGTCTGCATTGGAATAACCATATGTTCAACACTCACACTCTAGAACTTTTTGGTCAGAATTTCTAAACAAACACAGTCCATATATCTAAAACCACTAAATCAGAATTGATACTTACAGAATCTGTATATTTCCCAGTAAAAATATCACAGGAAACCTTTTGATATATACTTACACACAGCACTCCTCCAAACACATAAAAATATACAACACGTTCAGGTCACGATGCTTCTGAGCTGAACATGTAAACAACTGTTGGATCTGTGACTATAATATGACCTGTACATTTTACCTGAACAGGCTCCGGTAGAACAGTGGACAACAGCTGGTGTAAGCTTATCTAGATCTGTGTATCGTTGATTAGCGTAACAGCCCACCAATCAGATCCTACACCTACCACCATCGCAGGTTACAGCGAGTCTGCATGCAAACAATTATCATCAATCAGATGGGAAACCTGTTTCCTTTTTTTTGTATGTAAATATCATTCAGGTGGTCTGTAAGATATATTTTTTTAGGAAATTAATGAGTTGTGTAAACCTTAGTTAACAGACATTAATGTCAAAACACACCGTAAATACATTTGTTTTATGATTGTGTACATTTTTTTTTACAATATTTGAATAGTGTCTTTAACAATGTTAGTGAGGATATTCTTATGTAGTTATACAGTAACATGTAATATCAAAACCTTCCAGCCAAGTTTTGTGATCAGCTTAAAACGTTACATGTACATGTATAAATCAACAGATAGGCCATAAAACAAATACGTGCACACACACTGCAGAACTAATCCTACCCCAGGAACCCGGGTATGTAACCAGGAACTGTCTCTAGTGGGTACAATACAAATAAACGTGCACAGACATACAGGTGCTATAAAGTAACATTATACTGTATACAAGTTACCTACACCCACACAGCATTGTATGTAGACTGCATTTCTGTCTATACAATTATTTTCTTGTCTAGGAACTTGAGTAAGTTGGAAATATGCTGATCTATGGTCAAAGGCATGTAGACTTACTCAATTGAGGAAGAAAAAGCTGTAAAAATCTGATAGCCAGTCTCAACATTATGTAGCCATTACAATTCTTCACTGGGTTTGGTTATCCCCTTGCCAAGCATACCCCCAAGTACTTGAAATGAGGGTTGGTCACAGGCACCACTGTGACAGGAAAGAAAAATGCATGGCCAGACTGGGATTCGAAAAAAGGACTTCCGAACTCTAGACCGACACTCAACTCTCTATACACTCCTCCCTCCGTCAACAAAATCTCTGACCCCAAAGACACACGAGACCCCTCAGACAATATGTACCATCTTTTGAAGGTAATAGACTAAGTTGGGCCCCGAATGTAACAGGAAAGGAAAAACACACTCCTAGACTTAGACTCCAACTAGGGACCTCCAAACTGCTGCCACAATCTTACCAATAGAGCTACCTGGTCACTGGTGATCAACAAAGTCCAGCTCCGCTATATCTGTAATACATGTACACACATAGCTAGGAGTAACCAGGATTAATAACAACCCCCAAGCAGTTTTATGTTCACCAATGGAAATTGTAATGAATATTTTCTCTGACAGAATCAATATCTACAATGATACAATAGATATAACACGAGAGGTTATAACAAATCGCTGTTACCCGTAGTCACTATTGAAAATCAGTGTTCTTTATAAACTGGAACGCGCTCCTATATTATCTTGCTCTTCTTATTTTCTCTCCTATTCAAATTAATCGTGAAGTGTTTACTTGGACAAGCATTAGATTTTGAGTTTGAATCCTGGTCTGCCCATCATATTTTTTCATTCCTGTTACATTTGGAACCACTAAAATATACCTATACATGTGTATATTGTAATGGTATATTGGATTATGTGTGTCGTCAGCTTCAAACATTCAAATACAATTCATGAAACATCCTGATAGCTAGTTACAATTATTTACATGTATTTCCTGTTTTGCTTAAGAGCATTACGATTATAAATTTAAACGGTTTTCAAATTAGTAAGCAGACGTCAACTGTCCCTCTAAACCACCCCACCCCCATACCCGGAAATCCCCTCTGACCCTGATGTAAAAATAGGTATGTCACAATGTAACAGCTAGAGTATCTCACTTGTGGATTGGAGAATCAATTCAAAAGCAACTTACGTCATAAATGTTCTCATGATCTCGATAAACCACAGAAGAAACTTCTATTGTTATGAAAATGCTGTCCTCAAATACCACATCCTTAAATTTGAAATACTGCAAACTCAATATTTGTATTATAAATTGACAAAACACCTTTGTATATATCCTACACTTAGTTCTAGGTTGAAGCCAGATTTTCTGTACGAGCCACGTCAGCACTATAAAGTGTTAAACTGACACTGTTCACACTCGTATAAGGTTTACAGTGACAAAAACTTACCCTATTACCGCTCAGCTGATCTATAGAAAAAAGGTCACCCTGCTGATCTATACGAAAAGGTTGCCCCACAAAGCTTGTTGGTTTTATATACGGCCGACTTATAGCCCTCCCACAATTGTCTATTTTCCATTAGAGGAAAGTACACAAACATAATAACCTTTTATGTACACTTTCCTTGTAAAATGCTAATTCTGTTGACACCGATTTTAATTTAGTGTGAAGCTGGAATAACTTATTAATTCTTTTTGTATAATGTAACATTATTGAAGATATACATGTACAGTTTTCAGGGCCAATTTTTTATACTTATATAATGTATATACCGTCTACTAAATGTATTAATCACTAGCACAGAGATTTTTATGATGACAGTATCTGTTGATACTTTTCTGATATTAATACAAATCTGTTGATCAGGCTCTATAGCTACCTTGGTATGTATCTGTTACCTATCTGAAACTGAAGCTGTTTTGAGAATTTTATCGTAAGAGAATAGGAAGTACTATTACTAATGTAAGGAGCATTACGACATTACAACATTGTCAAAACTTTTCCCAAATATATATAATTGAAAAATCCAGCATTGTGATCGAAGCAAAAAAAGGCTAGGTATCAAAGGCAAAATGAATGCCCCCCAGTGTTCGTGATAGACCTAGCTATTCCCAAAGTAAAGTGAGCAAGATATACTAATGTGTACTCAACAGTTATCTAAGAAGACAAATTATTGTTTAATACAATTTGAAAATTACACAAGTATTGAGGTCTGTCAGAGATGATGCCTAAATTCTATCTAGAGTAACAGTGACCTTGTTTTTGACCCAAGAAGATTCATGATTGATTAGTGAACTTGTAAAAGGTGATGTTTGTGAACACATGAAATCATCATTGGGGACATGTATATATATATATATATATATATATATATATATATGTACAGGTATGGGTCAAAGAAGTAATATAGATGGTAAAATCCTATATGTACAGGTATATATACCTATACCTTCTATGCAATAAATATCCCATTGTTTACTTTTGGTTGTCAATATTATCATTTTAATTTTTTATGTAACTTTGCTTCATACGTTTTAAAAGCGATCTTGAAAATGAGAATTCAACGACTGTAGATAAGTCGCCCGCCTAACACCACCCCCTCCCCCAACGGCCATGTCAATTTTCTGCTTTGGGCCAAAATAAAATATCGTTGGTTTATTCATATTTTATGTTTGTGTAAAAGATTTATGAAATTCAAAGCATTCGATCCTTCAAGAGTTATTGCACGGAGGCCACTTGTGCAGATGACAACAACGTTGACGAAGTGCAAATAACATAGAAAACTAGCCATACAAATGATACATTTATTAAAGTAAGTGCATGCAAGGATAGTTCTGGATACTACACTTTATATAATAAAGATCAATTGTCAGATAACAAGATTGTACTGGACCGACTTTTTAATGTCTGTTTATATTTAGACAAGACCTACTTGAACTATATGTGCTTGTACTGGATATACTGTTTTAATACTTTCAACCAAAATTCATTTAATTATTTATTGTTGAAATAATATTCCTTTTCATATTACAGATGATTAAAATGGAAAGGACCTGATGCTTACCTGTCTAAATGTTTCAGCTGTTCTGACTGTACAGAATGACATTTATGACTGTAATTTACTCGGGCTATATATGGTACCTACAAGGTTGATGCTAAAACATGTACACCGACAGCCGTCTACCCCGGTACGTTATTACTTGCATGTACCGTCGCACTCAGGTACTCACCTATATACATTGTATCTACAGGTGTTTGGTTGAGTGGTCACTCCAACAGGTACTGTAGAAGTTATAGCTCTGATGTTTTGATGGGAGCTACATAATGTTATTAAGGTGATTGTATATACATATATACCTAGAGATAAGTACACTTACTTGATAGGTATACAATGTGAAGGGCTAAAGCTGAGAGCCTTGGGGTACACTTGTACCTAAATAACAGGTAATTTATAGTTTAAACCATTTACACCCACCACCAAGCAGCACAAACTAAGCTTACTGTCACAAACATTAGAAATCCTCAAGAAGTTTCTGTCACATATGGAACAATGGAGTAACAGTTGGTTAAATACTGTTGACCTTATTACATCCCGATCACAATAGTTTCTTTGTTTGCTTTTATAGTTCTAACAGAGATTCCCTGTGAGCTCAGTTTGCAAGATAACACAACCAAACAACTCATATATTGCCATTATTCTTTGGAAGGTACCTAGACTGTTACATAATCCGACGAGCATGGTTACGAATGATATGCATAGCACTTAAACAGGTAAATTTGTATTACAGAACTGATTTAATGACCAGGTTCAAAGTTCTAGTTGGGATCGAAGCATATATGTCAGTGTCTTGTTACAACACTATATACCTGTCCCTTACATTATTACAAATGTACTAGGAGCAGAAAAAGCATGGCTAGAATGCAGGGATTTGAAACCTGGCATGGACTCTCCGAACTCTCGATGATCACCGAGGAATGACCCTGTTTAGTTCCACTCTATTCCTCCCTCCTTTTAATTTCTAAGCCTTCAATCCCGAAGACGACTCGATTTCAGGTATCCCCTTGTCAAGCGTATGCACATTACTTGAAACATTTGTTGGGCACTTTGCAGGCACCATGCAATTTTGTAACAGGAGGTGGAAAATGCACAGCCAGGTTGACCCCATGCAGGACCCTCCATACTCTAAAAGGCACATACACTCAAACATAGATTTCGCTATGGAATGTAATGCAGTACACAGTTGAATAGCATAAACCAGTATATATTGCATTACATTCTATAACAAAATCCAGGTATGAGTGCCGGTAATACTTGATACCCATGCAGTGATAAAATTGACAAATTGCATACTTGCCAACCCTCCCTGTATAGGAGAGAGAGTCCCAATTTTGGACCCTTAAATTGAGTATTTCCAACCTGTGAGTTTGCTTGACTGTTCCTATATTCACAGATCTAATGATTTCATCTAAAAGAACAACTAAAAATATGTCATTTTGAGCATTTTTTTGTCTCTAGGGGATACATACACACATTTTATTATGTTTTAATTTTGAGCATGCAGAATCTAGCTCCCCCATGGAAATATCAAAAAGTTGGCAAGTATGAAATTGACGTCAACTGTCATCATAAAAATATATCCTGGCAATTATTTTAATTTTCTCACATGTATAATGTACTTTAACATGCATTAGGGGATGACAAAAATAACTCATTAGCCCATTTCACTCAAAAACACATGTCAGCCATTTTAAATGAATGACGATAACTAATTCAAGTGGGAGAGAGAGTAATTTGATTTCATTACCTGACTTCATGCTCCTCCAAAGTGATATTTGAATGAAATTGTTAAAGTGTCATCTTACTTGCATTTGTCAGTAAGTGCTGTGATATTTTGATTGACACCAAAGTAATATTGCAGTACAAGTGGGTCTACAACAGGTATAGTTATGTAACAGGATAAAGAGAAATGCAGGGCTAGACCGGGATTCTAACCTGGGACCCTCAGAACTCTAAATAGACGCTCTACCAATTGAGATTCCTGATCAACGACGATCATCCATTCCAGTTCTGCTATATTCCTCCCTCATTTATTTTAAGTCTTCGCCCCAGAAGACACAATTATTCACAAGACTGGCTCGGATATTCTCCTGCCAAGTATTTCCCTGGTACACCGGAAACAACAGTTGGCAAGCTTGCCAATTTTGTAATAGGAGAAAAAGAAATGCGTAGCTAGACTGGGATTCGAACCTCTGACCATCCAAACTCTAGACTGAGGCTCTACCAATTGAACTATCTGGTTGCTGATGATCGACCCAGTCCAGTTCTGCTATAATTATAATCATAACTACAATCCAGTGGAACAAACAAATATTTCTACTTTTCAAAAATTACGTATTATAATCTTGATGAATCCAAATTGAGATAAAGCATACACTGTATGTGTGCCATGTCCAGGTGCTCTAGCCCCTGCCCTAACACAATTGTCTTGGGAGTTGAATCAGTCAACAGAAGAATCGTACTTCAAAACATGGTAAAATCACCACAGATATAGAAGTCCATGGTAAAATAAACGCCATCTGGATAATTAAATTTTACTTTTCTATGTTAAATATGTGGTGATATGTTTACCTCTGGTAGAAAAACAAGCATTTTGTCAGCAGTTTTCAGAACATTACAGTATATCATATGTAGCAGGAACATGCAGTTTTGTCGTGGTGCGAGACATCTTTTTCTGTTGTCATTATGTTGCAATGCTGCCTAATGGCCAAGAGAAGGGGAATTCCACGATAACCATTTTTTAGCATAGTGCCTGCCTGGATCCCATGGTTTTACCTATTTTAAGTGTCCGAACTGGTCTGACCAGGGTTAAGTTGGTGGTTATAGAGTCGGTAGGCTGGGGCAGGGGGGCTAGGGCCTCGTATACAACTGGGGATTAAGCGGGGGTTTTGTTAGTCTAGACTGGCGGACATAAATAATAATCTATTGATATGGCTATTTGACTATCATGAAAGAGCTGTGAGGGTCACTGGCAAAGCTCTACATGTAGAGGCTATATAAGACTTCATAAACAAAACGACTGTCAGTCATAGAAAGCTCAAGTGGATGGTTTCGCAGTTTCTAAAAAAGACATAACACTTCTTTGAGACGGACAACACGTATGACCCAAAAAAGTGTGCCGGCTGTAGATGATCACATGCGGAATAAAAATGTTACCGTTCGTGTTATCTGGAGTTAAACTTTACCAAAGGACGACATTCGGAGTGGAATTGTTGTTTATACTAAGTGCAGTAGTGGGAAAAAAACAGGGCAGACAAACACATCATTTCAATATGTTTAAAACAATTGTGGGGTAGAAGCAGCACAGAAAAAAAAATCTTGTGTGGGACAAATTCAGAAGACACCTTACGGAAGAGGTCAAGGACAAGACTAGGAAAACATGCGACACTAATGTTATTTATATTAAAAGTCGACAGTGATGTGTCATGGAACAAGCCATTCAAGGCTTTATTTTCTGGTAATTATTTATGATAATGGTGTTTTGAAGATGAAGTCAGTCTTATATTACTAATCACGGAAATCAACGCCCACTGTCTAAATATCTAAAAAACTTATCTAGCAATGGATCAAAGAATCCTGGAAATGTATAAATCCAGAGATTCAAAGAAAATCTTTAAAAAATGTGGAATAAGTAATTCCTTTGGTGGATCAGAAGATGACTTTTTTCTCGCTGAGTCAGAAAATGGGGATGACACACCAACATTTGAAGGATTTAATAAAACAGACATGGGTCTTGCCGAGGCAGTGCATGAAAACATCAGAAAAGATGTGCATAACACTGTTGATTCAATTGAACATGATAGTGAAAGTGCAACACTCCGACAGTGATATGCAGGATGACGATGATTACCATCACTGTGACAGTCCTTGACATTGACAGTCTGCTTACATTGTTTTGTAGATCCTATACTAGTTGTGTTGAAATGTTATTTTTTCAAAGTGTTCTTGGCTGAGGTAATTAAGTGTGTTATGTTTCTTATTTCATTTATTTGTGTGTCTTTTTTTCCATCTTAAAAGATGTGGGGGCGCCGTTATTACAGCAGGTGCCCTTATTAGGTCAAATACAGTATACCACCTAGGGGGAAAACAGCGCTTTAAAGTGACATCTTTCGAGTTATTCTTGAGTTTAAACCAGTAATTTTGGAATGCATGATTTATTTTAGCAAATCCCTTGGTAATAGAACTATGAAATGTTTGGGTCCATTTAAATACACTGTAAGCAAGTAAACTTCTGATCAAAGGTTGTTGAATTTTAAGCTGGCTTCAATAGGAAATGGATATAAAAAAAAACCCAGAACTATCCATGTAAGTGTGAGCTGGTCAACCCCACAATCTCATGTTTTAAAGACAGCTATAGCTTAAGCTTGTACATATGTACTAATGTAGTGTAGGAACAGTTAGCTGGTTAGTAGCAAGTGTTAACTGTGAATTGAGAGCACGATCTAAAATGACATTCACTTTATGTAAACTGTGGTGGTGTATTCTGAAATTAAAAACAAAAAAGAACTCCCTTATCCCAGCCCACTTCCAAAACATAAATTCATGGATCCTTTCAGTGATGGGGGTCCTTGCAATCTCGATTGTATTTGGATTATCTCCCTTTCAGTCTTGTTACTGCATCGTAACAACAAAATATATACAACAGTTTTTAATTAAAAAAGATTGACACTTTCACTGTGACACAATATGTGAATTGCAACGAAACATGTTTACACGAGCATCGACTTCGATCGAGTGGGCGTCTTTCACTGGTTCACGACTCACGAGGGGATAACAAACTTCCCTGTGACTGTTGTATAAAAGTTGAGGGACTTAGACCGGCTATATGTCAGCATATTTTAGAGTGCTTATATTCGGGAAGACATTGTACAAGTGTCTGCAATCTTACCTTCACAATAAGGACACGTTCCTGAGGTAGGCTTATTGAGTGATCAACAACAACCCACCGTCGGCCTACTTGCCACCTGTCACCAAAGTTGTCAACACAGGAAATAGATTCTTAACCGCCGAAGTTTCGTATTTTTGTTAATAACACTTTGCCATACACAGAATCTGTTATTTATTCTGACCCCCTTTCTTTTTATTTTTGAAACACACATTTATCATTACACCCTTACATAACGTCATGAAACTCCATAATCATTAATGAGAAATATAATAAAACTAGCGTTGATCTACTTTCGTTTTGCGTCTGATACTATTTCCCGCCGTTTTCTTTGGCTTGGAATATTATTAAAAAATAATTTTACAACAATCAGCCTGGCAACAAGTAATTACAACGTGTATGAATCACTCTTGTTGGCCAGGATGTAGTAGTAGTCGTAGTAGTAGTAGTAACTCTCTCCTCTTGTAGGAGAAACAGCTCTTGTGTGAGAATATTTCTCAAATTGTGCATTTGATCGGTGAAACGAAAGTTGTTTCACACACACGTGGTATCGAGAATCGACCTCGTGGCGCGAACAATGGAGCACATCAAAGCATCGCCGGAGTTGGATCTCACAACGGCGGACGGAAACTAAGCCGAGAGATGGCGTAAGTGGGAACAAACAATGCAATTATATATAAATATAGCGATGTCTGGCAGGGAGGAAAAAGACAAATGCAGTGCATTTTTATACCTGATCGGTCAGGATGGCCGAGAAGTGTTCAACACGATGACATTCGACGGTGACACGCGAGACAAAATAGAACCGTTGTTTACAAAGTTTAAAGAGTACTGCCAACCGCACGAAAACACCATCGTATGGAGACACAAATTTAACACAAAAGTTCAAGGAAAAGGAGAAACGATTGACCAGTATGTCACTGAACTTAGAACCATCAGTAAAAACTGTCGATTTGGTCTACTTACGGATGAGCTGATTCGCGATAGAATAGTATGTGGTGTGAACAGCGAGAAACTGAAGGAAAGGCTACTCCGGGACGGGGAGTTAACCCTCATTAGAGCAATAACTACATGCAGAGCGAGCGAGGAAAGTCATCACATGATGAAAAACCTCCACGGGGAGGAGGTTGTAGCGAGTGTAAAGAAAAGTAGAGACTACAAGAAAACATCGCACAAACCGACCCCGCAGTCATCAAAACAATACAAACGTGTGGAAACTCCGAGACACTCTAATCTATGTGGTCAGTGTGGGGGGCAACACATGAAAGGGAACTGTCCAGCATTCGGGAAAAAGTGTCTAAAGTGCCAGAAACTCAACCATTTCACAAAGTGCTGCAGGACCAAAAACCCTGGTAGAGTGCACAATGTTGAAAACAGTGCGCAGGATGAAACTGACACTCTATTCATTGGATCAGTCGAATCATCACCTAAACACGACACAGAGTTTGGGAGAGATGAAGTGTTCGTTAACCTGAAGTTGTGTCAAGTAAGCGTGAAATTCAAAGTTGACACTGGCTCACAAGCCAATCTGATTCCTCTCAAAACTGTGCAGAAATTACGACCTACTGTCAAAGTGGAGAAGTCCAAGGTAACACTGACAAGCTACACAGGGGACAAGATGTGTTATACCGTACAAGGACAGTCAGTTAGATTTCTATGTCACCGACTCAACACATACTCCGTTGCTCGGATTAGGTCATCGCAAGATCTAGAAGTCATCAAGGTCGTACTTACCACCAACACAGAAAGGAAAGATCCTGTAGACATGTACCCCAAACTGTTTGAGGGACTTGGCTGCCTAAAAGAAAGTTACAAAATTCAAATTGATGAATCCGTAACACCGGTGGTGAACGCTCCTAGAAACGTGCCAGCAGCGTTGAGAGACAGACTGAAGGACGCACTAAGTGAAATGGAGAGAGACGGCATTATTGAAAAGGTTGACCAGCCCACCGATTGGGTTAGCTCATTAGTAGTGGTAGAGAAGCCCTCGGGCAAGTTAAGAGTGTGTTTGGATCCACGTAATTTGAACGTAGCCATCAAGAGGGAACACTATCAGTTACCTACCATCGAGGACATTGTGTCAAGGATGTCCAATGCCAAGTACTTCTCCAAATTGGATGCCAATCGTGGATACTGGCAGGTAGCGCTAGACATGGAAAGTCAGAAGTTGACCACGTTCAACACGCCATTTGGTCGATACTGTTATACAAGAATGCCATTTGGGATTAAATCCGCCCAGGAAGTATTCCAAAAGCGGATGAGTCAGCATTTTGATGGCATTCAAGGGGTTGAGACAGACATCGACGACATACTAGTCTGGGGTGCGAGCCTCGAGGAACATGACAGGAACCTTCAGAGAGCCCTAGATAGGTGTCAGGAGATTGGTCTCACGTTGAACAAGGAAAAATGTAAATTTCGTCAGACTGAGGTCAGCTACATAGGACACCGGCTAACGCAACAGGGAGTACACCCTGATCCATCAAAAATCGAAGCCGTGAAGGACATGCCTCAACCAATAGACAAGAAGGGTGTAGAAAGACTGTTAGGTTTTGTGAATTACCTATCAAAGTTCATTCCGAACATGTCCACCGTCACTGAGCCAATCAGAAGATTACTCAAGAGTGATGTCGAGTTTGAGTGGGCCAAGCCACAGGAAGAGGCGTTCAAAGAGATAAAAAAAAGATCATCACCAGGAAACCGGTACTGAAGTACTTTGATGTCAAGAGGCCTATAACGGTCAGTTGTGATGCATCCAAATCGGGTTTGGGAGTGGTGTTGCTTCAGGACGATCAACCGGTAGCTTATGCTTCAAGAGCGTTGACGGACGCTGAAACGCGTTACGCGCAGATAGAAAAGGAGTTATTAGCAGTGGTTTTTGCAGTGGAACGTTTCAACCAATACACGTATGGTCAGTGCATCAAGGTCGAGTCGGACCACAAACCTTTGGAATCGATAATGCACAAGCCACTAAACCAGACACCCCTCCGTTTACAACGTATGCTTTTGAGACTACAGAAGTATGACATCGAGTTAAAATACAGACCCGGGAAAGAATCGGTTCTTGCCGACACTCTATCGAGAGCATACATTCAGAAAAGTGTGACTGACGACAACCTCAGTGAGGAAGTTGAGAGACATGTTATGTCGGTGTTGCGAAATATCCCAGTCTCGGATGGGAAGTTGGAGGAAATCAGACAAGAAACTCTGAAAGATGAAACCCTCCAAGAAGTAGTCAGGATTGTTGAGGAAGGATGGCCAGACCACAGGTCCGAGACCCCAAGCAGAACTCATGATTTCTGGACCAACAAAACAGAGCTCACACATGTACATGGAATCCTTTTCAAAGGGGACAGGATTGTGATTCCGAGAACTCTGCAGGCTGAGATGCTGCAGAAAATTCATACGGGTCACATGGGTATAGAGAAAAGCAAGAAACGGGCGCGAGAACTCTTGTATTGGCCTGGTATGGGCAATCAGATATCTGACATGATATCAAAGTGTAGCACATGTCTCGATTACCAAAATGCCAACGCCAAGGAACCCATCTTGCCTACAGACATTCCGAAAGGACCATGGCGAGT